CGGCCCGGCCTGCCTCAGCCCCTGCAGGAAGCTCCCGGTGCTTCACATCTTCGGGCAGCAGCCCCTGGCCATCGGGCGTTGCACAGAGGCCTTCCGGGAGCTCTACCCCGACCGGCAGAGCCGTGTGGTGGTGCTGAGCGATGTGGTCTATGCCCATGCAATGGGTGAGTGCTCTGGGGCAGGGAGGGGGTCTCTCTGCAGAGCTGCCCGAGGGAGAGGCAGCAGCAGGCAGGCAGACTCCAGACACTGTCAGCCTTGATTTCTCTCCTCTCCCTTATTCTGCTGTCCCACTCTCTGTGGGTCAGGTCTGTGGCCATGTTGCGTTCTCACTCCTCTCTCCCTTCAGGCGAGCTGGAGCAGCAGTTGCGCCCTGAGTACCCCAATATCATTTTCTCCAGGGTGGTGTGTGGGGACCCTCCTGGCCCCACACCGCCCGGGGTGGTGCGTCAGTTTGGTCGCCAGTTCCTGGTGGAGGCACCAGGAGGGCTGCAGGACTGTGCCATATTCTATGTGGGAGCCGAGGGCCTGGCCCTCACCAGTTTCATGATGACCTGGAACCGCTGTCCCTTCAGCTCCTTTGACCCTGCTACCAGCTGCGGCCGCCGCGAGACCCTCAATGTCAACCGGGCTCTGATGCGACGCCTCTACCTGGTGGAGCGGGCCCGGGACGCCCGGGTGGTGGGCATCCTGGTGGGCACCCTTGGCGTGGCAGGCTACCTGGCTGTGCTGCAGCACCTCCGTGAGCTTCTGCGCCGGGCTGGCAAGCGCAGCTACACGCTGGCTGTGGGGAAGCCAAACCCTGCCAAGCTGGCTAACTTCCTGGAGGTAGACATCTTTGTACTGGTAGCCTGTCCTCAGAACTCCTTGCTGGACTCCAGCAACTTCTACCGGCCCATCGTGACCCCCTATGAGCTGGAGATAGCCTGTAACCCGGCCCGTGAATGGACAGGGAACTACCTCACTGACTTCCGAGACCTGCTGCCAGGTAACAGCTGAAAAACAGCTGCCCAACACCTTCCTGCAGCATGTCCTGCCCTGCTCCCCTACCTGGAGCCTGCAGTTGCCCCAGCTCTTTGCCTGCCGGAGCATAGACATGAGCACTAGGCTAACGTTTCCATTTCCTGGCAGGTGCCTGTGCGCACATTGAGCTCCCACCAGCTGTCCCTGCAGCGGAGGCCGTTCCCGACATCTCGCTGATCACGGGGGAGATGCGTACAGTCCACCTCTGTGACCCCCCAGTCTACCAGCTGTCCCCCAGCACCACCCTGGCCTGTAGGGACCAGACGCGGGCCCTCATGGAGATCAGTCCTGCTGGTTTGTGATTCAGTGGTGGGGCTGAGCCCCTGTGCAGGGGCAGTGCCGCCTCCCTGCACCCAGTAATAATTTGCTTTTTCTCTCCTCTCAGCCTCCTTTTTGGAGTCCCGCAGCTGGCGGGGCCTGGAGCAGCAGCTGGGGCAGACACCCATCTCCAAGGCTGTGCAGGGCCGACGAGGGATTGCCATTGCCTACGAGGACGAGGTGCGCGAGCAACCCTGATTAGGCAGCAGCACTGGCACCCAGCCAGGAGCAGGGGGTGTGTGGGGTCCCGGGCATCACCTGTCACCGGGTGTCAGACCTGTGAGGGTGTCACAAGGGTCCAGACATGCCACCAGTTGGCCCCACGCTGGATGCAGCCTTGGGTCAGTAGTACTGTGGTGGGAGAGCAGGAGTTGCATGTATGTTCGAGGATGCTCGCGGCACTCTGGGACTCATGGCCAGGGCAGCAGCAGGGCCAGGAGAGGTGTTTGGCCCAGACCCAGCCTGTGGGGGCTCCCCAGTCCAGGGCAGTTTTGCCCCTACACGGAAGGGTCACAGCTTCGCATAAGCTTGAAGCACCAGGCTTCAAGGCTTCTGTGGGCTAGTGCTGCTAACTAAAGCTGAACTGAAAAGGACTTGTGAGTGAATCATCTTCTAGAATAAAACATGGGCTGAAGAGTGCAGACAAGGGTGATACCAAGCATCCTAGAGTGAAAACACAAATCACGGCGTCTGCTCAGGGAGCGCAGCCCTGTGTGTCAGCTAAAACCAGCCGAGAGAACAGAAAGCCAGAACTGGGATCCCCAGAAATGAAAGCACGTTTGCAGTCTGGGCTGGGGAACTAAGGCAAAGAGGAGAGGGCTCCAAGTGTGACCCAGCCCCTCACTTGCTGTGAGGACCAGGATTGGGGTGCACACTTCCTGTGCTGCAGGGGTGGAGTCTGGCCCCTCTCGTGTGGGGCAGGACCGTTTCTGCTCCATGAGCTGCTCCAGGCCAGGCAGCACAGCATGGTGAGCAGGGGGGGACTAGTTTTCACTGTCCCTCCAACAGCCAGGGGGGATAGGACACTCCGAGGCACCCCAGCCTTCATTTAACTCCCTCTGCTGGGCTTTCCCCCAGAGGCAAGGGGCAGGCAAAGTCCAGGCACCACAATGACGACAACCACAACATAGAAATATTCTTAATATAATTAGGTGCAGGGCCTCCCCCCTCCCAACCACACACATACAAATGAGCAGGGGGCAAGCCCCTCTGCCCAGCCAGCCACTGCCGTGGGCACAGGGGCAGCCTTCCTGCCACGGGGCATGGGCACCCACAGGGAAGGGCTGGGGAAGGGCCGGTAGCCCGGGCATTGGGCAGTCCTGCCCAGGCTTCCCCCTCCCCCGCTGCCACCGCCTCCTGCAGCCGGCACTCCCCTCCCCTGCCAGGGGGGAGCATGCTGGGGGAAACAAAGATGCTGACACTGAGATGCGGCCACCAAATCTAGCTGAGGAGCGTCCTGAGCGGGTTAATTCTAGGTGGAGGGTTATTCTACGAGCCGTACTGCAGCAGGGTGGGGAGGATGGGGGGGGCTTCCTTGCAGGGAAGAGCTGGTCCGGGCAAACTGTCCGCGGTCCTGGCCAGGTGCTCAGTAGTCTGCTGTGTACTCTGTGCCATGCAGCCCTCGGCACAGCAGAGTGAACTCCTTCACCATCTCCTTCACTCGCCGCTTGTTCACGCGCTCTCTGCTAAGACAGAGAAAAGGGACAAACATGAAGCAGGGGACACACACCAGGCCATGCCGGGGGGTGGGGAGTGTCATTCCCACTGCATGTGGGGCACAGCCACCACAGGGAAGGGTGCACAAACCTGAGGATCTGCTGGCTGAATGTCTCCTTCTGCTCGGGGCTGACGCGGGCCGAGGGGAAGCCGTCCTGCTGCATAGCCTCCTTGATCCAGATGCTCAGGTAGCTGAAGCAGTGCTTGTTCAAGGCAAAGAGGATTTCTGCGAAGTGATCCATGAGGCTGCGGGAAGCCTGGCCACCGACACCCTGCCACAGAGCAGACCCTGCTGAGCCCCCAGCATCACCCTGCACCCACCCACACTGCCAGGCTCTCTGCCTCCAGGCCTGCAGGGGTGCCACTTGGGAATAGAGCCCAAAGCTGCCTGGGCAGCCCACAGCCCCAGCCTCGCTCACCTCGAGCACTGCCTGCAGCAGCACTTTGCCGTTCTCATGCACGACCTGTCCCACCGGGACGATCTCTCCACAACGGGGCAGCAGCTCTGTCTGCAACACATGGTCCGGCATGCTCAATGCTGGAGCAGGCTCCACGCCACAGCACCCTTGCCCAACCCGCAGCTCCAGTCCTGCCCTCCCAGCTCTTCAAGGGGCTGCACGATGCCATGATACTTACAAAAAAGCCACAAGATGCTTTGACTGTTGGGGCCTCGGGGAACTTGAGCGAAAGGACACCTGCGGGCAGAAACACTCAGGTTAGCAGCTAGAAACACCCCACGCCATCCCAAATCAGCCCTGTGGTCCCCAGCTCTTGGCTGGTCTGTGCCCGGCGCTGCAGGAGGAGCAGGCTGGCTTCTCTGCAAGAGAAGCGTGTGGAGCATGTGCCCTTGCCCGTGGTACTCACCACACTGAAACACTGCTTTGACATCCAGGTTGCTACACAGGAAGAGGTCCGGCTTCCTTTTCAGAGCCTGCAAGGCACACAGACAGGCAGCATAAACCCCACGCTGCAGAGGCAGCCACGAAGCCTCCGAGGAACCTGGTGCCCCAGACAGCCTCTGCCTGGACGCACACTTACCTGGGCACAGCCACGGTAAATGGCAGATTCACACAGTACAGCAGGAAACCATCACTTCCCTGCTCCCCCCCCTGCCCCCTCCCCCCCCAAGAAAATGT